AGTTCTGACTGGTACAGGAGGAGATTGCCCCTCCTTCTCCAGCAGAGCGTCTGGTGGATTCAAACCACATACTTCTGAGATTGCAGTGCAACTTCTTGCCACTAGGCCACCAGAGCTCCCCAGGGTCACCATTTTGTATTACATTTTATTAATTCCTTTTTTTCCGTGCTGCATAGTATTCCGTTGTGTGACTATACCACAGCTTCTCTATCCATTCATTTGTTGATGGGCACTTGGGTTGCTTCTATCTCTTTGCTATTGTGAACAGCACAGCAGTAAGCATGGGTGTGCATACATCTGTTAGGGTGGCAGTTCTGGTTGGGGTATATTCCCAGCTGGGTTTCTTGTGTTTTGTTTTGTTTTTGGCTAGCAGTTGAGTGCTTTCTAGCAATTTAAGTCCCCCAGTAGATCTGAGAAGGATGGACAGATTCCTCCTGTGCATTTTACAGCCTGAGAAAGAGCTTTAAGTAAATCCTCACTTGCCAGTGATTAGTTTATAATGAGAATTGAGATGTCTAGGGAAATGATGGACAGTCAGAATGGCTCTGTCTAATATGTATCCTGCCCCTCCTGCCCAGCCTCCCCGTCTTCTCATTGGAGGCACCTGCTGTTGACACTTTTACATGAATTCTTTCAGTGATACTCGATCCACATACAAACATATAAAGATAGATGTGGAGAGAAAGACAGAGATTATGGAGGTTATATATAAAGATACACAGATACAACCATATTGCTCTAGCATGTTATTCTTTACTTTAAAAGTAAATGATAGCTTTTGGACATTTTTATTTATATTCAAACAAATACATAGAAAAGTAGTTACTACCAATTCGGACATAGGGAAGAGGGAGGGAGGGAGTTTCCAAGGCTGGAGTCTTTGCCCAAACAGCCTGCCTCTTCCTTCTACTCTGTGGAAACACCTCGATTTCTCTAGCCAGACTGCAAGTGAAGGGCACTGGAGCTGTTTGTTCACAATATTTTGACCTTAAAATGTTGCAGACTTGTCGTTGTTTTTTTATATGAATATATGTAGAACTGTGAGCAAATTGTGAGTCAGTACAGCGTGGTGCCCACCAAGAGCAGCATGTGTGCCGAAAGTGTGCCTGAGTGGTGTGTTCAGTTGCCAAGCAAAAGGTTGGAGGTTCTAATCTACCCAGAGATGCCTCAGAAGAAAGACCTGGCAATCTATGTCTCCACAATAACAGCCCTTGGAAAGCGCGAAATGAAGCATAGTTTTAGCTTGACAGGCAACACCATGGAGTAGCCGTGAGTTAGAATTAACTTCTGGCAACTAGCTGTTTTTTTTATCATTTTGAGAAATGGCTGAAGAAATACAGTCTGTAATAATAATAATAATAATAATAATAATAATAATAATAATAATAATAATAATTTGACACATAATTTTGACTGGAAACAAAAAAGTGTGCTACTCAAATTATACCCAATATGAGGCGTTTGAAGGTTTCCAGGGATCACCCAGGGTAGATGCTGAGAGTACTCGGGTGATGCAAAGAGTTAAGCCCTTGATTATACCCTTCTGTACTGAAAGGGAGCTCTGGTAGACTAGCGGTAAGAAACTGAGCTATAATCACAAAGGCGTACGGTTCAAATCCACCAGCTGCTCTGAGGGAGAAAGATGGGTGGTCTCCTCCCCTGTGATTACCTGTCTCTCAAAACACTGCTGCAGGGTCACCTGTGGGTCGGTAGTTAAGGACACCACCACTAGCTGTAAGGTTGGTGGTTCAGGTGGTTACTGTCACTCCTTGCTTGGTGTAACTCTTCATGCCTGCCGTCCTCTCAAATCAGAGCGCAGGTGGGCGGGACAGGAGCCTTCTATTGGACCGCATGGTCCTGGGTGGGTGGGGCCAGGATCTGCAGTCCCCGCCTATAGGGTGGGGTTTGCAGCCTAGCTCCGCCCATAAAGGAGAGAGATGGGTTTCAGTGTGGTGGGCTCCCAAGGCCACAGCTAGACTTGCTAGACTAGAGCCTGGGGTGGGGTGGCGTTATTGTGGAGCCCTGCCGGATAGGGAGCCCCCCACCTCAGAGTGGGTGCTGGGGTTCCCCAGTTGCTGCCCATTCTGACCCTGCCTCCTCCTCCACCAGGTGGCCCTTCCCCCACACCCCTGCACCCCAAGCGCAGCCCGACCAGCACAGGGGAGACGGAGCTGAAGGAGGAGCGCCTGCCCGGCCGGAAGGCGAGCTGCAGCGCCACGGGGAGCGGGAGTCGGGGGCTGCCCCCCTCCAGCCCCATGGTCAGCAGCGCCCACAACCCCAACAAGGCTGAGATCCCAGAGCGGCGGAAGGACAGCACGAGCACCCCTGTGAGTGGCCCCGCTGGTGGATGGTCTTCACGCCTGACCAGCTTGTTCCCTAGTGTTTTCTAGTTTCTATTGTGAAAGTTTATACATTTATTTTCCGTTCATCCATTTCCACTCAGACACTTTGTTTCTATGATGTTAAGTACAATCCCCACATTATAACAGCACTCTTCCTGCTTTCTCCTTGTGATTCTCATTTCCATTCATCCTACCCTACCCTTTCTTGCCCTCTGAGTTTATTCTTGGGCAAATACTGGCCTTTTGACCTTATAGGATTGATTGTTCTAAAGAGAGAGTGGCTCTTGGGTATTGCTCATCCTGTAGACCTTGTCTGTCATTTGGCTGCAAGCTGACAGACAAGGATGAGTTAGATTCCAGGCTCAGAGGGTCCAGACAAAAGAATCACAGTATTGGGGGTTGATCAGTCTTTTATCACAGCAGCAAGATGGCCATTGTTAGGATTTTGAGTCTTGTTCCTCATTTCTCTTCCTCTGTCAAGGACCCTCTACTGAGATCCCTTTTAAAGGAGTCAGCACTGGTAGCTGGGCACCATCTAGTCCTTCTGGTCTCAGAGTCTAGCACGTTGAGGTCTAAATGGTACATTCGTTTTTTGACCTCATTATCTATTTACAGCTTTGTCTTGGACTTCTTATTTTATCAGTAAGCATTTATTGAGTGCTTTCTGTTTGACTCCACTGTATAAATCACCCTTTGGTGTCAGAAACAGAAAACACACTAAGTGCTTCTAGCAGAAAAGATTTCATACAGCGAATTTGTTCCTTAGAAGAGCTGAATGAGCAGGGGTGTTGCTGGGCACCATAGGATTGACAGGAGTGCCTGGGAAATGTAAAGAGTTCACATCATCAGCTGTTAACCTAAAGGTTAGAGGTTCGAGTCTATCCAGAAGTGCCTTAGAAGAAAGACCTGGCCCTTGGCCTTAGCACCATTTTGTTCGAAACTTCTGAACCCTGAGAGCCAAGTAGAGGAAGAAGCGAGAATGCAGGCTAACATGAAGAAAAGCAAAGATGCGGCCTAAGTTTAGATACTGGCCTGTATCCACACAGGCACTATAGCAGCCGGAGTGTGGAATGGCAGAGGCCAGGACGCTGAGAAAGTGTGACTGTGCTATTGTCTAGATGGAACTTCTGGCTCCCAGGCTCCCTGCACACCTCTGAGAGCCCACCTGACGACCACTACCCAGACCGTCCCTTTTGATCACTTGCCCCATGGCATTCTGGACTAATTCTGTCCTTAGCAGACTAAATTGTCTCTTTGCTTTCCAAAAACAAGAAGAAAGGCCTGGCTGTCTCCTTTCCAAAAATCAGCCAATAGGGAGCTAGTCAGGCCAGTTATGGGGGGAATAAAGATAGCAAACACAAATCGCCAATATCAGAAATGAAAAAAAACTCATTTTTTAACCCCCCCCCCCTCATTGCAGTGTATTGGCAGCAGCTCACAGCTGGCCCCCTCTGGGTTTTCAGAGGCTGTAAATCACACAAGGGGAGATTACCTGTCTTTCTCCCGCAGAGTAGCTGGTGTTCAAACCTACAGAGAAAGGCAAGGTAGCCGTGCCACTCCCTATAGGCCAGGCAGCCAGAGCTCTCTCCGAAATTATAACTGGACTTTATTCTCTCAAGTGCAGTCAGATGATGTTAGGTGCTGCTGAGTTGACTCCGACTCTCCTTCTCACGGACCCTCTTCTCTATTACAAATGATGTCCTTCTCCAGGGCCTGACCCCTTACGATAACATGCCCAAAGTATATGACATCGAGTCTCACCGTCCTTGTTTCTGGGGACACTCGGGCCTCCCTTCTTCCAGGACAGATTGGCTTGCTCTTCTGGTAGACCACGGTGTGTGCACTCTTCTTGGCCAAGACAATTCTAAGGCATCAGTTCTTCCTTGGCTTGCTAGTTCACTGTCTATCTTTCCTCTGCATATTGGACAGCTGAAAATACAATGACCTGGGTGAGGCATGCCTTCTGAAGCACCTCTGGACGGACTAAGGTGTCCTGGTTCTCACAGTAGCGTCTTTGCATCTGAACATTTTAAAGAGGTCCTTTTCACCTTTCTACGAAGATGGTGCTAAAAGGCAAAGGCGAAGAAGGAAGCCCCTGCCCCTCCCAAAACTGAAGCCGAAGCAAAGGCATTAAAGGCCAAGAAGGCGTCCTGAAGGGCGTCCACAGCCAAAAAAAAAGATCCATATGTCACCCACCTTCTGGTGAGATGCTAGGACTCTGAAGGCAGTCCAAACACCCCCGGAAGAGCACCCCCAGGAGAAACAAGCTTGACCACTCTGCCGTCATCAAATTTCCCCTGACCACTGAGTCAGCTATGAAGAAGATAGAAGATAACAACACACTTGTGTTCACTGTGGATGTCAAGGCCAACAAGCACCAAGTCAAACAAGCTGTAAAGGAGCTCTATGACATTGATGTGGCCCAGGTCAACACTTTGATTAGGTCTGATGGAGAGAAGAAGGCCTGTGTTCAACTTGCTCCTGACTATGATGCTTTGGATGTTGCCAATAAAATTGGGATCATCTAAACTGAGTCCAGCTGCTTAATTCTAGATACCAATTTCTCACCATAAAAAAAAAAGTTCCTTTTCCAGCAGCTTTACTTCCATGGATGTTGATTGTGGACTCGGTTACAGTGAAGTCTTTAACATCTATCATCTTTTCTTTATTTATCATGAGACTATTATTGGTCCAATTGTGAAGACTTTTGCATCATTGAAACACATGAGCTACCACAGAACGACAGATGGGTGGCGAACTCCATTACCATCAAGTTGGTTCTGAAGCACAGCTGCCCTCTGTCCAGTTCCTTCCTAAAGCTTCCTTTTCTTAAAGGGTCTAGTGAGTTCCTTCCTTTTCCTAAAGAAATCTTTATGGAAAGAGACGGTCCATCTTTCTCCCAAAGAGTACCTCTTGGATTCACCCTACCAACCGTACATTGAGTCATGAGGGCCCCTTGGAACAAGGTATTAGGAACTACTTAATGATGATAAATTTGACAACTGAAGTGGACAAGGCTGTCTCTAAAAGCACAGCTTACCAAAACTGACACAAGAAGAAATAGAAAACCTGAAACCACTTCCATTCTTGTGAACTAAATAAAATCTATATTTAAAAAAAAGCAAAACTTTTCCATCAAGCACATTCCAGGTCTCAGTAGCTTCAGCTGGTGGAATCCTTTCAAACATTTGAAGGAAGAACTAATACCAGTCTTACACAAGCTTCCAGAGACTAGGAAAGAGGGAGTGCTCCTGTCATATTTATGGGGTGGTGTAATCGCAATACACCCTGCAGAGCTCACAGCCCACTGCAGGGTGGGGAGCAGATATGTGAGGAGACATTGATGATACTTGCTGATCGAGGCTTTGATAGGGAGCCCAGAGGAGGCACCTGACTCAGCCTGGAGGTGGGGGTGGTGGTTATAATATGAACTGACACCTGAAAGATAAGTAGGCAGGCAGCAGAGGAGAAGCGAGGAGGAGTGTTCCAAATAGAGGAGCTTAACCTTTGCAAAGGCTAAGAGGAAGGGTGGTAAAGTGGCAGGATGAAAGATGTTTAAGAAAACAAAAAGTTCAGAAGAAGAATGAGCTGGTGCCCTCCAGCCGCTGCTGACCCCTCTAACAGGATCGTAGCAGGATCGTAGCAGAAGATCCTGGATAGGGTAGGGGGAAAGGTGGAGCAAGACACAGAAACAGAAAAGCTCGGGCTTCCTGGCCCCTAGAGACGGGTAGAATCTCTCAAGACTATGACACTTCGTCACTCTTCAAACCTCAACAGACTCAAGCTTATGGCTCCACTTTTACCCAAACAGTAGGACTATACGATGACCAGAAACACTTGTTTCAAAGAAAAACCAACCATTTGAGGTTCAGAGAGCAGCATTTTTGCCCAAGGATAAAGTCCTGAAGGCAGGACGGGATAGGATAGAAAGATTAATGGAAAGACTCACAGAGGGCGTGGGAGAATAGATTTACGTTGGTGGGTAATTTAATGAACATTAGAAAACGAAAATGTGTGGATGGTTAAACGGAAATCCAATTTGCTTTGCACACTTGTGCTCAAATCACAACTTAAAAATGAAAAAGTTTAGTGGTATTCCCTGGTCTGTCCCTCTGCCTGTGTCTCTCTCTGCAGACCAAGGAATCCCACCTGGGAGGCCCCCTTAATAATGCTTGTTTAGCTTTTTAAAAAAAATAAATATATTTTTAAAATAATAATTAAAATACATATATTCCTTGTTGTTGCTTTGTGCCCGCGAGTCAGAACTGACTCATAGCTGACCCTGTATACAGATCCCTCTCCTCTAAGCTCGAGGTCTGGCGGGGCAGTCCACTGGGCACTGTGCTGTTCTCTGGACGTTTGAGCCCACCAACTTCAGGAGCCGTTTGCTCCTGTGCGATTTATGGCCTCCAAAAACCTGCTGGAGGGTCAGCAATGAATAGGTTCTTACTTGAAAGCAATTGAGTCCTCTCAGGTCTGGAGGTTCCCACAACTCCTAGCTCAGATGGCTCCAACATTCCACTCGCCTTTGTGTCCTTTAGCCCAGATCAAACCTTCCCGTCTCTCCCGTGAGCCCCTGACCCACTCAGAACCAAGGAGTGTACAGAGGGTGAGAAGGGCGGGTGTCACTGAAGGCTGCCTCTTCTCGGTCCTCACTTTTCCCTACCCTGTCACCCCGTCTCCCGCAGAACAACCTCCCTCCCAGCATGATGACCCGCAGAAACACCTACGTTTGCACAGAACGCCCGGGAGCTGAGCGCCCGTCCTTGTTGCCAAATGGCAAAGAAAACAGGTATGGGGAGTGGAGTACAGGGAATCGGGGTGCAGGTATGCGGGGCACCCTTGATCCAAGATAGTTGACATGAGGAAGTTCCGGAGGGGCTAGTGAGTATAGGCATCTGCCCTTCCATTGACCACATTTACCCAGGCTTCCCTAACTTCTAGCAAGCACCCCCATCTAAATCCTCCCCACTTGATTAATTAGTCATCAGCACCAGGAAAGCAGCCTGCCCTGTTCTCCGCCCACGAGCCTGGGAACAGGGGTGGATTTTTTTTAATTTTTTATTTTTTTGAATGATCCATTTTTAGAACTTTAGAAAGAGAAGCTCCAGGATAGCACAGCTTGGGGCACCTGGTGGGCTGGTTTTCCGCCTTGGTGGCCTGGGTGTATTCAGTCTCTTTCAGGCACCAGAGAGGGAAACCGATTCATAGACAAGTTGGTACAAGTGGGCAGCGTTAGCCAGGCTCTGGGGCGCACTCATTAATGGCGGGGGCAGGTGTTAACAGCTGGCCTCTGAGGGCAAGGTAGCAGTGTGATTGAGAGCAGCAGTTCTGCAGCCACCGACTTCTGAGTTCAAATCTTACCCCTGCCCACTGCTAGCCGAGATGACCTTGGGCAAGTGTCAGAGCCTGTGTTTGCTTGTCTTTAAAATGGGGCTGGTGGGCTCAATGGGAGGGAACCCACTAAACAGCCATGATGTGTACCTGGCACAGGGTCTGACTCAGCAGACATTGGTGGTAACATGAATGAAAATAAGAGAACTAACAGTGATCATGGAGCAGCCAGGCTTTTGTTCTGGCTTAGTGCTGGTGACATCGATCCTAGTTTCATCTCCATTTACAAGTGAGGAAATGAAGTTCAGAGAGGTTGTGTAACCTGTAAAAGGTCACATAGCCAGCAAGCCCAGGAGCAAAGACTCCAGACTGACTGCAGTAACTGTCACGTAGCCACTGTAACTTGTGACCTTTTAGTTCTTTTCAAGAGACAGTATACCAGATAGATTTTACATTGAGCTGATGTAACAGAGGCACCCCAAAATACAGTGGCTTGAATAAGAAGGAATTTCTCCATCTGTGACATGACAGTGTAGCTCTGTGGAGAGCAAAGCAGTTTTAAAGACTTGACCCAGAAAAGGCTCACACTTCCACTCCTACCCCATTGGCCAGAGCACAGTCACGTGACCACATTAAATTGCATGGAAGTCTGGGAAATGTAGTCTAAGGCTTACGGGCCATGAGCAGCTAGTGCTCCTAATTGTAGGTGTTCGGTTACTAAGAATGAAACAGGAGTGCTGGATTCTGAGAGAGACGTGGTGATCTTTGCCACATTTCAGGGTTCTCTGACATCCAGATTGGCTTTAGGATCTGGAGGGTTAAAAAGTGGAGACCTGCCTCTGTCGTCATGACTGGAGGAGGCTCTTGAGAAGAAGGGGCTCCCACTACCTATATAGCAAGCATCTTGAGAGACTTAGAGAAGTCTTTTCCTTTTATTTACATTTGTGGAAAAAACTGTAATAAATACAGTTATGTCTGACGTTCGGATCTGTTCATTTCCTGAGTTTGGGTCATGAGAGATAAAAGTGGTTGCCAGATTGATGTGTTCCTAGGTTTGCACAGCCCACAAATTTATCAGAATTTATTGAAAGGCTGAGTTTAGAGACACAAGAATTGGGCTGGGGCTTGCTTTGGAGAGGTAGAGTTTGAAGAAAGGGCAGCTCCAATTAGCAGAGACTTGGAAAGAGGGAGAGTCGGGAGGAGGATGCCAGAGTTGTGAAGTACACAGCCTGCTCAACTGTACATGGTCCCCCTGTGTTTGAGCTACAGGTTGAAGTTTCTGGGCTCAGGATAAGAATCAAGGATGAGGGGCTCTGCTTTGGGGCCCTATCTTGACCTGTTCTTTCTTGCCCACAGCTCTGGCACTCCGCGGGTGCCCCCCGCCTCCCCCTCAAGTCACAGCCTGGCTCCCCCATCGGGGGAGCGGAGCCGCCTGGCCCGCGGCTCCACCATCCGCAGCACCTTTCACGGTGGCCAGGTCCGGGACCGTCGGGCAGGGAGCGGGGGAGGCGGGGGAGTGCAGAACGGACCCCCTGCCTCACCCACACTGGCCCACGAGGCCGCTCCCCTGCCCACTGGGCGGCCCCGCCCCACCACCAACCTCTTCACCAAGCTGACCTCCAAACTGACCCGAAGGTGAGCCCCACAGAGCGGAGGGGCAGGGGTGGGCTCGTGGGTCTGGAGGGTGCTAACCTGTCTTCTACTCTGCTCTGCCCTCTGTCCCTCCACTTCTTTTCCTTCCTGTCCCCCCTCACCAACCTCCTCGAACTGCAGGGTTACCCTCGATCCCTCTAAACGGCAGAACTCTAACCGCTGTGTCTCGGGCGCCTCTCTGCCCCAGGGATCCAAAATCAGTAAGTCCCGCCTCCTGTACCTCTACCTCTGCCTTTGCGTCCCTGGTCTGCGTGTGCAGGGGTGGGGGCCTATGGGAGACAGCAGTGGGTTTCTGGCGTCACTCACTAAACAAAGTGGCCAGAAGCACAACCCCTCGAGCCAGACAGAATTCCAAGCCCAGCTCTGCTGTGTGACCTTAAGCAAGTGCCTTAACCTCTCTGAACCTTAATTTTCTTCTCTGTAAAAATGAGAACTGTAACAGCAGTACTTTCCCTGTAAGGCTGTGGCAAGGATTAAATTACACGATGCCTGGGCCTGGACCTTAGGTCAGTTCCTGGGAAAATGCCTTCCAAATGTTTGCTCTTATTGTTAGTCATTGAACTTCATCTGCATACTCAGCCCCATCCAGCGCCCTTGAGTCAGAGAATGAACAGAATCCCCATCCTAGTGGAGCCAGCATTCCACTACTGAGACCCTAGACAATAATTAATGAAGGCCCAGAACCCGGTCTCATTGCTGCCTGGCCAAACTGTGACTCACACAGACCCTGTTGACAGAGTGGTGGTGCCCATGGGGTTTCCGCGGCTGTTACCTCTGTGGGAGCAGACAGCCCCATCTTTCTCCCAACAGGTGGCTGGTATATTTACTGCCAGCCTTTTTTTTTTTTTTTGTTAGCAGTCACAGGGCCACCAGGGTCCCTTAGATGAATAAGGAAGCTCAACATAAAAACTGAAGTATGGAAAGGCATAGCAGGAAGGGGTAGGGGCACAGGGAACAGACAGTCATGGTTTTAAATAGGACAGGCTTTAACTGAGAGAGGTCATTTTAAGCAGACTCCTGAAGGAGGGTGTGTGTGTGTGTGTGCGTTGCCCCTTCTATCTGTTGTGTGTTTATCTGCCCTCTCGCCTCTCTTTCGACTCCCAGGTTTTTCAGTGTCTGTCCTATGACCTCCACTAACCATTTCGGCACAAGCCCCCTTTGGGAACCAAGAAGGGGATGGAATGCTGTCTCTAGGTTGTCCCTAGCCCAGCTCCAGCCAGCTCGGAGAGAATAGGGCTGAGGCAGGGGCTATGTGGGGAGAAAGGGGGGTTCCCCTTGCTCAGTACAGACACTCTGCCTTCCTCCCTCCCCTAGGGTCGCAGACGAACCTGAGAGAATCGGGGGACCTGAGGTCACAAGGTGAGTGAGTCCTCGTTGCTTCTGGCAGCTGAACAGCCCCCTTCACCTGCCTCAGTCCTGAAGGGGAGCCTCATCTCCCAACACCAGCTTCCTGAATGCTCTGTCACCCCTCTTTCCTACTGCCTCGATCTGTCTTGGACCCTCTCCCCTTAAGTTCTTTGACAAAATATCTACAATCCAACCTCCCACCCACTGTCCTCTTTCTCACACCCCACTTCCTCCTCTCTTCTGTTCTAGTATTGGCAAATGGTTATCAGCGTTTCTGAGCTAACAGCCAGCCAGCATGTCAGAGAGTAAATCTTCCAGGCTTTGAGACAGTCTGTCAAACCCGCAGCTTTGTGTCATAGTAGCAAAAGCATCCAGAACAGAGTATACTCTGACTCACAGCGCCCTGTAGGACAGAGTAGAATTGCCCCATCAAGTTTACAAGACGTGAATCTTTACAGGAACAGCGTGGCTGGCGGGTTCAAACCATCAAACTTTTGATAAGCAGCCGAATGTTGAATTGCCGCACCACCAATGCCCCTCTCCAGTAAAGAAACAAATGGGCATGGCATGGGCCAGTTAAACTTACTGACAAAAAGCTGGCCGACCTGTCGTTTGACTCTTGCCCTAAGTAGAACAGAGTCATTGCTCTAAATCTTTAACAAGCCTCATCTCATTGGCTGGAAGCGGGTCATGTGCAGCTCCGTAAGCCAATCGCCTGTGGCCAGAGGTGTTGAGTATTCTGATTGGTCAGACGTGGGTTATACTCTTTAATCAATCAGTGGACAAGAAGGTTCCCTGCTCTCATTGGGAGAACTGGGTCACGTGCTAACTTAGAAGGAGGCAGCCAGCTCCACCCGAACCATCCTGACTAGACGGTAGCTTCACCCTCAGCACTCTAGGCATTTGAGTGGCACCTTACTGTGTTGTGAAAAGTCATCTTTCACATTGTGGGGCAGTGATCATTCCCGATCCTCACCTAATAAATGAGAGTAGTACTACAGGCCCAAGACGTGATGATAATAAACCATTTAGAAATAAAAATCCCTGCCACTCCCATGTCCAGCTTGTAACACTAATTTTTGTCTTATTTACCTAGTGCTGGTATAACAAAGATCGGAAGAGTAGATGACTTTTAATAAATATATTATCTCACAGTTTGTGTGAATTCAGGGACCCGTCCTAGGGGAAGGCTTTCTCTGTGGTTCTGGGGCAAGGCCCAGGACTACATCAGAGTCTGTAACCCTCACGTTCCATGGAGATCTGTGTGTATCCAGCAGCTTCCCAGAGCAGGGGCCTGAATCCACGCAGACGCACTCCGCGCCTAGCGATTATTTTCTTGCTGGTGCTGAGGTCCCCCCACTCTGCACGCTTCTCTTTACCTGAGATAAAAGGTGATGCAGGCCACACCCCAGGGAAACTCCCCCTGTAACAACAGATCTAGGGTCTGTGATGAGGTTAAGCTTTTTTTTTTCATAATCATTTATTCCTTTTATTTATTTTTTCTTTTTTTCCTGTAATTATATTTTATTAATTTTCATAAACATTTACAGAGATTTTGGGCTTCCACTCATTCATTGTTGCACTATTCTCTCTACCCTCCTCCCAGTTTGTTCTTGTCCAAATGCCACAGTGCTTGTCAAAGCCAGTTCTGATTAATCTTCTTTGTCAGTGTGTGATGAGGTTAAGCTTATTCCATCTGACCCCAAATCCTTTTATAACTGCTTGGTTTATGAAATCATTATAAAACTTCCAATTTAGTTATTACATATATATTCTATTTTTATAATGTAATAATTTAGTTATTACATATATATTATGTATTATATATATATATATTTTTTGAGGGGACACAATTCAATCCATGACGATTCTTAATGAAGTGAAATCATGGCTACCCAGCTAGTAAACTGTTGTCTCATTTGCCCTCTATCCCACATTTAACTGCTCTTTTCTTCTTTTGCTTGGCCAAGGACATTAACCCCTTAGGCATCACATCAGTGCCTTGGGATTTCAGACTCTTAAGGAGAATTCAGTGATATTTGGCATCTGTCAGATGCAGCCAGAGCCCAGTATAGTTCACTTCCAACACTGAATGTACCGCATCCAGTTTCACATTGTATCTCTGAGGAGCTGGCTTGATTGGCCGTAGCTGAGAACCAGTGAGTGACAGTCAGTGTAGGACAGGAAGTGAGGGAAGTGCTGCCCCAGCCTCACTCCAGGCTTTCACAAGGTGTGCACTGCACACAGGCACACATGTCACAGTAGTAAGTAATTTTCATTAGAATAAAATAAAAGCTTCCCCCTCCTTTTTTTTTTTTAAGAATCCTGGGCAGAAGGGAACAAACTGGAACAAAACTCAAAATCATAAAAAATGCCAGAGCTTGCTGGCTTAATAGAGACCTGTGGTACCCCTGAGAATATGGCCCATATTCACCCTTTGAGCCTAGAACAAAAATCCCTCTCCCCACCCCACCCCCCCGTAGTTCAACTTTCAGCCCTGTAGATAGACCTGTCATGTAAACAGTAGCACCAAAGAAGGACTCACACCTTAAAACAGTCAGTAATACAAGATCAAAATGTCAGTCTACCTCCAGAGAGAAAGCTCACAAGGCAGAAAAGGATAGGCTAGAAGGATGAATGGAAATGAGAGTTACAGGGAGGAAGTGGGAAGAGTGCTGTTATGCAATAGGGATTGTCATGAATGCTGAAAGACACAATTGACAGGAAAACCGATTGCTTTGTGAACTTTCACCCAAAGCAGGGTTTTTTGTTTGTTTTTAAAAAAAATAAGACTTGGTGATTTACTTCCATAAAGATTTTTGTCCAGAAAGCCTGTGAAGACATTTTTACTCTGTCACATAGGGTCACTATGTTGAAATTGATTTGTTAACACTTAATAGCTACAAAAAGGAGCACTGGTGACCCTAGTGGCAAGAAGTTGCGCTGCAATCCCGCAGGCACTCGCCTTCACCACAGGAGGATGGGCAGTCTCCTCCAGTGCAATTAGCTGCCTCTGCAAACCTAACAGAGGGTCAGCTATGAGTCAGTTCTGACTAAAAGGTACACAGCAACAACAAAGGGAGTTCTAATCAAAGAGATTTAGAGTCCATAGAGAGTTTTTGCTGCAGCTTTCTGATTCATTCATGATAGTGGCATAGGATCAGGCCAGGCTGTGTTTAATTCCCTTTGTGCGAACTGTCGCTGTGCACCAGTGGTCAACCTGATGGGCACTAACAAATAACGACAGGGCTACACGCCCTCACTGTGGCCTGGCAGCTCCGCCGCCATCCTCTAGAAGCTCCTTGGCATCTTGAAAGTTGAATCTGGCTCATGCCATGGTCAAGCTCCAGCTCACAGGAGGTGGGGACAGAGTCCAGGCCTTGCACTTAACTTTTTTTTTATTAATATTTTTTTTATTGGGAAAAACATATTGGGGGTACAAGGAGGTGAGGGTTGGGGGCAGAAGGGTGAGGATGGGCCAGGATGCAGTTGCAGAGCTGCACAGTTTGGTCGGTGGGGGGAGCAGGTGAAGGAAATGATGAGGGTCCAGTGGGGACCAGATGCTATAGAGGAATGACAAGCATTTTCCAATAGTAATTAAACCAACTGTCTTATTGATTTGGGAATTGGATGCCGACTCTCTGGCTTCTTCATGCTGAACAGGGGTGTAGATATAAAGGGGGGAAGGGAGGACGCTTTATCACCTTACTGGTGGTCTTGGGTTAAAGCTGCTTGCCTTCTTGCTCCTGAGGGCCGCCACGGTTCGCCCGGAGCCAGGGGCCAAGCGCAGCCCGACCCGGGCAGAAAGCCACAACGGCTCGCCCAGGGCAGAGGGCCGAGGGCAGCCCACCCCGGGGCAGAGGGCCGTGATGGCTCGCCCCAGGCAGAGGGCCGAGGGCAGCCCGGCCCGGGCAGAGGGCCACGACGGCTCGCCCCAAGCCGGGGCACTTAACTTTTAAGGTGATAAGCTGACCCTTGCACACATCCCCTCAGGTTGATTGACGCCCGGCAAGGAGAAGAACCAAGTTGGCCGCTGGGCAGGCTGGGAAAGGTAGTCCTCTGCTGGGGAATGTTGTACGCCAGGAAATGTAGTTCCTCCACTGGGCCCCTGACACTGTCATTAAAGGAATGGGCCGTGAGGGGACACTACTCCCCTGGACCCCCACTGCCCTCTGCCCCCACGTCCGCTCCCGTCCCTGACTTCTGTCTCTTCTCCCCAGTTGCCATCTACCTTGGGATCAAGCGGAAACCGCCCCCCGGCTGCTCCGATTCCCCTGGAGTGTGAAGCTGACCAGCTCGCGTCCTCCCGAGGCCCTGATGGCCGCCCTGCGCCAGGCCACGGCGGCTGCCCGCTGCCGCTGCCGCCAGCCACAGCCGTACCTGCTGGCCTGCCTGCACGGGGGTGCGGGCGGGCCCGAGCCCCTGTCCCACTTCGAAGTGGAGGTCTGCCAGCTGCCCCGGCCCGGCCTGCGGGGCGTCCTCTTCCGCCGAGTGGCCGGCACCGCCCTGGCCTTCCGCACCCTCGTCACCCGCATCTCCAATGACCTCGAGCTCTGAGACGCTGCGGCCCCGGGCCCCCTTCTTCTTCCTCCCTCGTGGCCCCCGTCACTTCTGCAGGAGGGGACAGGGACAGGGGCGGTAGTGAGGGAGCTGTCCCTCCACCATGGCCTCCTTTTCCCTGAAGGAGATCTGGGGGCAGAGCCAGGGGTGCTGGCAGCTGGGTCCCCCCCATGCCCTGCAGTGGGGCACCTTGAGATGACTTTGGGGGCAGGTCAAGGGCAGTACGGGAAACTGAGGAACCACTTCCATTCCTCACCACAGCTCAAAAATTAGGTCTTGGGCAGGGGCAGGGAAAATGGCTGAGCCTAAAGACTGGAGAATTTGGGAGGGCCTGGAGTGGGGTTCAGAGAGGCAGATTCCTTCCCATTCCCCTCTCCTCCTCTCATGCTCGAACCCTTCCCTGTCCCAGGCTGGCGCGGGGCACTTTGTACAAATCCTTGTAAATACCCCTCCCCTCTGCAGAGGTCCCCCGAGGAGCTGCCGCTGTTGCCCCCCGGGTTTTTAAGTTATTACAGCCCCCCTCCTGTCAGCCCCCTCACCTGCAGCCTGATGCCCAATAAATTTAGGCGAGTCCCCAACCCCACGCTGAACCTGGGCTGTTCCTTCCCTGCCCCAACTGCGAGGGAGTCGAAGAGGAGGCGCGTGACTCTGGGCCAACGACTTATTTCTGAGCCTCGGTTTTCTCATCTGCAGAATGGGAACAGGGGGGTGTGAGGCGAGGATGGCCTTTGGAAGCGAGTGGGACAGTACCTGGCCTTGCCCACAAGGCCCCCCAGCTCCTGTATTGGGCACCCGGACCATCTACTCACGCCCGCCTGCCATGTTACACTGGACTTAGTCACTTCTTACTCCGGTAGTACATTTACTCAATAAATAGTCCTTGACCAGTGTCTGCTCGGTGCCAAGCCCAGTGCTGGACATGGAGATAGGCGGAGCCCCCATCTTGAGGGGCAGAGGTTCTAAGGAAATAGCTAGAGAGATTGATTCCAGGGAAGCCCAAAAGCATGGAGGGCTGAGAAGGTTTCCCAGAAGGAAGCGTCCTGGTGTTGGGTTTTTTTTGTTAGTGCTTTTTTTGGTTTGTGTGTGTGTGTGTGTGTTGGGTTTTGAAGAATGAGTAGGAGTTGGCCTGAGCAAAATCACAGTTCTACGGAGAACTGTAAGTCGTTTCACCAAGGCTGCTGTGTTGCGGGTGGGTGGAGAAACCATGTACCTGGACCAGTAATTTCTCTCCTTAAGCAAAACAGAATTTATTTGGTGTATGTTACTTAGAAGCCAGGAGTGACTAACTTCAGGTATGGTTGTATCCAGGCATCAAGCCGCCTGCTTTTTTGATTGTCAGTTTTGTTCTCAGGTGAGGGATTGGTAGCAAAGACGACTTCCAGCAGACCCACACTCGTATGTATCCCTGTGATTTAGCGTCTGCAGTAATAAGTTCCTTGTTTTTGCAGAACTTCTGTAAAAAGTCCTGGTGAAGACTCTGGTCCTGGTAAGTCATGTGATCATCCAATGAGAATACACTCAGCGTCAACCGGTTTCTCCAAAGGAAAGAGGCGCTAAAGCTTGGTAGACTCAAGCAGAAGACGGCTACCCAGCACAGGGCTGGATTCCACAGGACCTGTGAGCGAGAGCAAGCTGGCTTTCCTCCTAAAGGCACTGGGGAGCCATGGAAGACATTACACAAGGAGATATTCAAAACTGCTTCATTTGCACATTGAAAGCATGATAGGTCAAGCTTGTGTTCATGAACAACCTGTGCTCTGGGCCAGACTATATTTCTCCCTAACTGAAACCGCATGTGAGGGCCGTAAGTCAGAAACTTCTGGGGGGTGAGGCATCACCAAGTCGTTTCTGGCTCAGACTAATTGTACCACAGAACAAAATACTGCCCGGTCCCGCACAAGCCTCACAATCTATTTGAGGTCAGCGTTGAAGCCACGGATCCATCCATCCTTGTCCTTGAGGGTCTTATTCTCTGACCCTTAACAAGCGTGATGTCCTCCAGGGACTGGCCCTTCCTGTTATGTCCAAAGTATGTGACGCTACATCTTGGCCATCCTCCTAAGCATTGTAGCTGTTGCCTGTTCTTCCTGCAGTCCCTGGCGTACTCAAAATCATTTGCCAATGTCAGAATCCGGACATAAGTTCTTCAGTCTCCTTAATTCGTTGTCCAGCTTTTGCTTTTAACTTTAATTGTGACTTGAAAGTCACCAGAGCAAATTGATTTTTCCCTCTAACCATTCATACACAGTTCGCCCCCATGTTACAGCACTCTGCCTGCCGTTTTATTCAGTATCAAACTTGTATGTAATTGAGGCTATGGAAAAGGCTATGGTTTGGGAGCTCTGGTGGCCTAGTGGCAATAAGCTGCACTGCAATCTCAGAGGTATGCGGTTCATATCCACCAGATTTTCTGCTGGAGGCGAGGCAATCTCCTCCTGTACAGGTCAGATCTGATTTGATGGCACACATGCAAAAAAATTATTTAAAAAAAAAACCCAGATGTTGGGAAGGAGGGGACTATATCTTGGAATCTCGGTCTCTGAGGGCTGCCCCCTGTCCACACCCTGCTTCCTGAGGCTTCCATGGCAATGGGGTGGTGGTCTTGTCCTCAGGCAGTAAGGGACCTGGGTGGGCAGACTGAGATGGAGTACCTTAAGAGCACCAGCTGCAGTCACGAGAGGGCTTCCCAATGACTGGAACATTGAGTGGAGATAGCTAAACACGAGCAAGGGTGTCACTGATTCTGGGTAGCTAGAACAAGTTGTTCAATAGCTGGGGAGCAAGAGAAATCTACCTTCAGCTAACATGGTTCAGGATAAGAATGCCCTACTTCTAGTTTGGCTGCTGACCAAAGGGTCAATGGTTCGAACCTACCAGTGAGTGTGAACGGTGAAGCCTGCTTTCATAAAGATCTGCAGTCTTGGCTGGAAACCTTCCAGGACAGATCTCTGTCTTACAGGGTCTCTATGAGTCAGAATCAACTGCATGGCAGTGAGCTTGATCTTACAGCATCTCTGGGACACGTGAGACTGGAGATGTTGGCCAGGCCTGGAGGGTTGTAGAGAGGGCACTGGGGAGCCATGGAAGGCTGTGAGCGAGCAAGGGAGAGGCAGAGACCAGCATGGACTATATGCAGGATGAATAAGGAGCAAGACAGGGAGACCCAAGCAGAAAGGTGGGATGAGAAGAGATGTAGGATGTGGTAGCTAATGGGACTGCAGGAGTGGGGCGTGCTGGACTGGTTCCGACTGGTGTGCGCATGCTGTGTAACCTCGAGGTGGAGCTGAGACTCTTAACGGGCTCTTCACTTGAGGATAAAACTGTAAAGTACACCCCAGCACCTGAAAGGTCCTGCATGGCCTTTATGGTCTCTTCTCGTGTTTTTTCTGTAGCTTCCTTGAGAAACCTTGCCCACTCCATCTCCCTCCCCTGGGCCTCAGTTTTACCACTGTAAGATGGGAAGAGTATGTGTTGATGTCTAGGTGTCCTCTCATGGGATTTTCATTCCCTTCATGTGCATATGAAAGTGGAACAATGTTGGAGCTCTGGTGGCCTGATGGCAGGAAGCTGCTCTGTAATCCCAAGGTGCTCCGTTCAAATGCACCAGATACTCTCCTGGAGAAGGCAGGACGGTCTCCTCTTGTACCAGTCAGATCCGATTTCACAGTAAACATACACAAAAATAATAAAATAATTAAAAAAATGGGACAATGAATAAAGACCAAAGAAGAATCAGTTGATGCCTTTGAATGATGGTGCTGATGAAGAATATTGATTGGACAGGCAGAAAAACAAATCTGTCTTGAGTCAAGTGCAGCCAAAGTGCTTCCTTAAAAGCCAGGGTGACGTGGATTTCATCTCATATGCTTTGGGCATGTTATCAGAAGGCGACCTGTCCCAGGAAAAAGTTGCCATCCTTGCAATAGCAGACAGTCAGTGAATAGGGCAAGACTTTGAACAAGACGAACTGATAGGATGGTCGCAGCAATGTTAAGTGCAGGAGAGATTGTGAGCATCACACGGGACCAAGCAGGGATTTGTTCCCTGGTTCACGGGGTCACTATGAGTTGGAGCTAATTCAGTAGCATCTAGCAACAGAAAAGTTGCCGTTGTCCCTCATAAGGTTTGAAAAGAACCAGTTCTTTGAATGGTCTCTGCCTTGCTCAGCCTCCCATGTTTCTTATAAAGCCTTTGTCCATTTAGGGCCACACCCACCATGTTTAAGTGGACCTCAGCCAGCTGTCAAGGACCTTTACACTGTGCTAAAGAGCAAAGATGTCAGTTTAAAGACTAAGGTGCACCCGATCCAAGCCACAGCCTCTTCAGCTATGTCCTATGCATCTGGAAGTTAGACAATGCATAGGGATAACAGAAAAATTGATGCCTTTGAATTGTAGCGTTGGAAAAGAGTAGTGTCTATCTCATGGACTTCCAAAAGAACAAATGTATCTGGCTTAGAGGAAGTGCAAACAGGATGCTCCCTAGAGGCAAGGATGGAGAAACTGTGTCTCAGAGATTTTGGTCACATCAGGAGAGACCAGTCCTTGGAAAAAGACATCATGCTAGGGAAATGTGACACAATCAGAGAAAGATTCTCATTGAGAAGGATTGGCACAGTGACTGTAATAATGGGCTCAAACATAACAGAGATGGTGAGAATGGCACAGGACATCGTGAGGCTCAGATCTGTTGTTCTAGGGTCACGAGAGTCATAGCTCACTCTATAACACCTCCCAATAACAACAGCTTTGGGGCTAGTCAAGATACTATATTTAGATGGTAGTTCCAATGCCCATTACCTATTTCCACTCCTGATTGTTCTACCATGCCTCCTTCCAGCTCCTTCCTGGGACCAAGATCCCCAATATGTAGATTCTTCTCAAGACTTCCAGGAATTATACTGATCCGAGCCATGCTTTGCTGGAGGAAGAAGCCTGAGCAAAGATGCTTGAGAGGTGGGGATTGCAGGTTGTAAGGAGAAAAGAGAAGTAGAGGGGAAAGAGCTGGAAAGAGAAATCTTCAGCCTATGGTATGCGTTTCAGAGTGAGTTGGAAGAATAGCAAGTGCTAGGGAGCCATAGAAGGTTCTATGGAAGGAGTAATATAGAGATAATGAGAAGTTCAACAGAATAGTAGCAGATGTAGAGGGATGAAGTCAGATCAGGCAGAAGAGGTCAGTAAGGAGACTCAGGAAACTCATAAAGGAGGGTGATAGGATGGAGGCCTGTGAGCCATTCAAACCTCGGGCATTTTATTTCGCTGGCCCGTTTCCATTTCAAATTTGAATGCTTGAGGCTTTCCGTTCACACAGACAAGCCCACGTTTCTCTCCTTTGTGGACCCTGAATTTGAGATCTGAGAGTAGAGGCTGGAAAAAGCCCAAGCTTAGCTTGTGATATTGGACAAATGATCACACTTCTCCACGGAATCTTATCATTTGGGGCTTAGAGTTGCTTCATTGTAGAGAACATGACTAACGAAGGTGAAGTCATGCAGAGCAGCCAGCTGCAAAAGCCCACCCCATCCCACCCTGCCACAGCTTTCACATACAACTTTCTAAGGCCACCATTGCTTTTATTACACTGGGCAGAAGGAAATGCCCAAGCTCCAGAAGCAGTACTAGGGAGCTCCTCATTAATCAGAGCCAGTGGTGGGCGGAGCTCTGGGGGAAAAGGGAGGTTTTCATTGGCCGGAGCCCATATGATTGAGTCCATAGGCTAGAACTCTGAGGCACCGTTGGCAGAACGATTGTGGGCGGGGCTCCTTGCAGAAGAGGCGGGGCAATGGCTGAGGGGCGGGGCTCCGAGGGCTGAGTCCTCCCATTGGCTGAGGCTCCCGCAGTCGGCGGCGAGCGCGCTGGGCGCCTACTTCTGGGCGGGGATCATGTCGTCAATGGATCCGCCCTTCTCCAGCTTCTTCTCCATCTCCACCATGAGCTTCACACCATCGACCACGAGCTGCACCTGTTCTACTTCGGAGGAGCCCAGCCGATCTGCGTTGGACACGTCGAACACTGCGCCCACGGCGGCAGTGTCCACACCACCTGCAGAAGCAGCGACAAGGGCATGAGAGGGATAGAAGGTGCAGAAGCAGCAGCCTCCTGTACTGTGCACCTAATGCTTTGCACCTATGCAGACTTGGGGAATGTCAGGGCCCGCGTCTTCGGGTTTAGGCAGCACAACCCTCAACCACCCAGCATGAAATACAGCATAATTAATGAGGTCGGTTCTGCAGTTGGGCTGCCTGATCATCCCCACCTTTACAAATGAGAAAACTGAGACCCTACGACGTGCATTAAAAAACAAAACAAAACATTGTTTTGGAATCAAAATTAACTCAGCTGACACTCCAGTGGGTTTTTAGAAGCTGTAAATCGTACGGGAGAATACTTCTCGTCTTTCTTCCACTGGTGACGATGAACCACCTGGTTTTGGGTTGGCAGCGCACTCACTAAGGCACCAAGGCTCCCAGACTTATATAAAGCGTGTTACATAATCATGAAAACGTGTACTTGTGGCCCATTTTACATCAAAAGCCACTGAACCTTTATCTGACCTCAGATTTTAACTGTGCCCCAGAACTAGCGGTACTAGCCTTTGACCACAGAGTCAGCCCCAGACGTCACAGTGTGTGTGTGAGGGTGCGGGGCCACTCACCTGTGCCCCGCTTCTGCAGGCGCAGACGGGTGAGGATCTCCTCGAATTTGGGGTGCTTGCTCAGGTGCGCGAGCTTCACATGCACGCCCCCACGGAGGCCGGTGCCCAGGTTGGAGGGGCAGGTGAGCACGTAGCCCAGATGCTCGTTCCACATGAAGGGGTGCCCAGCTTTCTTGAAGATCTCCTCAATCTGAGAGGGTAGAGAAGAAGGGCAGGGGGTTAGCATTAGAAGGTGCCCCAGAAACAGGACAGGAGAACGTGAGAGGAAGCAGATTCCAGAATGACTGGAGAACAAAGAAAGATGAGGGGAGGGACGAGATTAGGAGAGGGTGAAGAGGATTCGGTTTGTGGAGAGGGCGCGAGGGAGGTGAGCCTTGAAGATAGAAAATGAGAATGAGAGGAAGGTGTGAGGTGTGCTCTGAAGGGTGTGCTGGGGAATGAGAGAAAAGGTGGAAGTGAGGCTCTGAGGGGCAGGGGATGGGGGGAGAGGGCCACTAACAATGTGGGAGGTTCTGAGGGGCGGGGCTTGAGTATGTGAGTGGATACTATGTTTGAGGGGCGGGGCTATATGATGTGGGTGGGGCGGTGTTGAGGGGCGGGGCTTGAGGCTGTGGGTGGCGACTAAGTTCTGAGGGGTGGGGCTTAAGGATGTAGGTGGGGTGAGGTTCGGAGGGGCGGGGCTTTAGGATGTGGGTGAGGCGAGGTTCTGAGGGGCTGGGCTTGAGAATGTGGGTAGAGGTGAGGTTCTGAGAAGTCGGATGAAAATGTGGGTGAGGGAAAAATTTTGAGGTTCACGATGAGAATGTGGGTGGAGTCGAAGTTCTGAGAGGTGGAGCTTGAGGATGTGGGAGGAGGGGAGGTTTTGAGGGGTGGGGCTTGATGGTGTGGGTGGAGACTAAGTTCTGAGGGGTGGGGCTTGAGAATGTGGGTGAGGTCGAGAGTCAGTAGCAGAGTGAGAATGTGGGTGGGGACTAAGTTCTGAGGGGTGGGGAATGACAAAATGTCCCTGAGATGTGATGCTCGAGGTCAACAACAGTTCCCAGAGGATAAGTTCGTTTTCTAGGATGTGAGCCCTTTGGACACGGGGACTGAGCTCTTGGAGATCAGAAACCAACATTCCTGGAAGGAGAGGGAAGGAGGCCAGCAGCCTGAGGGTCAGATCAGAGAATAGAGGCCCCAAATGACCAGGAATTTGGAGTTAGTGGATCCAAGGACCAGAAGTGGGAGGTTGGCGTTAAGTGAAGGTTAGCTGTCACTCTGTGGGGTTCAGAGTGGAGTCAACAGCGAGGGGAAAACACCCACCTTCTGCAGCCCCACACAGAAGCGGCGGAAAACCTCCTTCATGTTCCCCCCCTTCTCCATGGAGATGACGCGGAGGTGGTCCTCCTCGTTCACCCACACCAGGAAGCTCTTGTTGTCATTATGCCTGGAGAAGAGACAGGCAAGGACGGAATCAGTCCGCTGGGGATCCCCATTTCTCACCCTCTCCCCAAACACGAGGAGGAGGAGGGAAAAGTGGGCCTAAGAGGTAGAAGGGGGTGACACCTGTTTCCACAAAATCTCAGAAGCAGCACTAAGCCATAAATGCTGAAGTTATGGGATCTATGAAACTTTGAATCCAAAAGTGAAGGGCATTTGAACAACATTAAATTCTAGAAAAGAATTTAGTTATCATAAATCTTAGAAATCCTCTATCTTGGATGAGGTTGGGGGAGTATTCCTGTCGCATTGTAATTGTTAGTTGTCATAACGTGGTCCAGTTTCGTGGAGACCCCATAGACAACTGAAAGAAACACTGCTTGGCCCAACTCCATCCCCAGGATCTGGTTTGGAGCAGATTATTTTGATAAGCAGACTGCCAGGCCTTTCTTCCTGGTCTTAGTCTGGAAAACTTCGAGGAAATCTGTGTAGCCACATCAGCTCAATGCATTGCCATTGAGTTGGAAGCAGCTCAGAGCTGAGCCTCCAGTGAGTTTGCTGTAAAATTGCATTGTTCAGCTTCTTCTCAGAACAATCGATGGATGTAAACCGACAGAGAGGTACCACCTTTGAGTTCATAGCACAATACTCTGTCAACTACACCACCAGGACCCCCATATCAGGTTCAAGACAGAACTGACTCACAGCTGACCCTCCAGTGGGTGAGGCTTTAATAGCACGGGGAAGAGACTGCCCATCTTTTTCCCATGAAGCTTCTGATGACTTCAAACTGCCTGCCTTTGGGTCAAGGCTCCTAGCAACATAGCAACATGCGAACCAGACAACTGCGGATGAGGTGTGTTCGGCTGTAAATAGAACCTCAGTGTCCCAGAAACCACAATGAAGCCCATGGCTGTCCTCCTATGGCCACCCTCCGTCAGATTTCCCAGGCTGTAGGTCTTTAAGGGAGGAAACCGCCTCATCTTTCCCCCTCACATCAGATCTGCCAACCTTTCAGTTAACAGCCCAGCAGGCAGCTAACTGCACCCTCAGATTCTCCATCCTGGAAGATGGGTGAGAATTCCATCATCACTGAGCACCAAGGCCCTCCTTAGACTGCATCTTGAAAACTGACTCTCTAAGCCCTGAGTATAGTCGTTGTTTGTTGTTATGTGCCATCGAGTTGCCTGTGACCCTATATATACAGCAGCTCTCAACCCTGCCTTGTCCTGAGCCAGTCTCACTTTTAAGATGTGCAAATGTAGTGAGCTCTGGTGGCCTAGTGGCAAGAAGCTGCACTGCAATCTGAGAGGTTAGTGGTTCAAATCCACCAGATGCTTTGCTGGAGAAGGAGGAACAATCTCCTCCTGTACCAGTCAAATCTGATTTGATGGTACACACACACAAATAATAAAAATTAAATTTAAAAAAAAAGATGTGCAAATGTCAGAAAGGGTGGAAATTACAGAAGCCAATGGTAGTGTGGTCTCAGAATATAGAATCTTAGAATTATCTACATATATCTTTGAGCGCCCCCTAATCCTTTGGAATCTGGATTCTTTAAGCATTTAAGTCTTTGACTCCTGGAATCAGAGTAGAGGACTCATTGGAAGTCTATCACCAGGACAATTGTTAATAATGAGATAATAGAAATCTCAGGGTCACTGTCAATTTCAACTCAGAGTGACCCTGCTTGACAGAGCAGAGCTGACCCCTGAAGATTTTCAAGACTGTAAAGCTTTAGGCGGTAGCTTTTCGTATCTGTACGCTGCCCCGTCTTACACTGTCTATACTCACCCCCTCTGATATCCTCGAGTAGGATGTTACAGTCAGTGATGTCAACCCATCCTGTTGAGGGTCTTCCTCTCACTCATTCTCTGAACACCCACCTTTCCTGGCACGATGTCTTTTCCCAAAGACTGGCCCTTCCTAACAACATGCTCAAAATATTTGAGACAGCCATCTCTGCCTTTAAGAAGCATGCTGGTTGCATTTCCACCAAGATATATTTGTTTGCTCTTTTGGCAGTCCGCGGGCTTTTCAGTCCTTGTCTCCAGTGCAACTCAAAGGCATCGATTCTTCTATCTTCCTTATTCATTGTCCAATTTCAGAGGCATTGGAAGTAATCCATAGGACCGTGACTTGGATCCGTTACACTTTTTTTTCTTTAAATTAGTATCATTACTCTTCAGTCCTTTGGAGAGGTCCTTGACAGCAGATTCCACAGTTAACTTCTTGGTTGCAGCTCAAAAGATCCCACCCAGCACTGGAGAGAGACGAGGCTGTCTGCTCCTGTAAAGCTTTTTGTGCTCATAAATACCATGAAGCAATTCAGAGCTCTGTCCTGAGGGATCTCTGTGAGCCGGAGTGGACTCGTTGAATATAGGTTTGGGGTTGTTTGTGTTTTGTTTTTTTTCAGTTAGACTGTGGAGAGGTGGGTAAGAAGGATGGGGAGGGGGAGCAGCGTTGGCAGAGGCTGAGGGGTAAGGGAGGCCATGGGTCAGGATGTGGGTCTCACCAGATGCCACGGGCGTCGGGCCAGTCACGGGCCATGCCTGAGGCCAGCAGCAGGGGGGACACGGGCTTGTCGAACAGGAAGTGGTCATCGATGAGCTGCTGCTGCTCTTGCTCGGTCATGCTCTTCAGCGGGTAGTATTTGCCCTTGAACTCGCCCGTCAGGCTGTTGAGAGCTGAGGGGCCAGACAGAGGGGTGGTCAGTAGCCTGCCTCCACTGGGGTGCAGAAACCTGGGTACCCCCACGCTGCCGCCTGCATAAACAGCGAATCCAATGCTCTCCTTCCTCCTGCCCAGGTCCCAGAACTGCCAAGTCTCTGAGAACTTGCTGGAGGGTCCGCTCTGAGCAAGTTCCTCCTTTCCGAAGGGAGTCTCCCCTGCTCCCCAGGCATGCTCTCCCATACCCCGGGTTTCTGGCCTCTGTTATTTTGCAATGATCCTGTTTATTAATTTCTGAGTGTCCCTCGTCCCTCCACCAGCCTGGGAGCTCTGTGGGAGCAGTGAGCAAGGCCACCATCCTCATCATGGTAACTCCAGCTCCCAACACAGCAGGGCTACAAGAACCACGGGTGTTTGCTGGCTGGCTGGACATGGATGCATGCATGCATGGACTGAAGGACAGATGATTTCTGGATGGATAGATGGACAGGCGGACGATGGATGGAAAGATGAAGGTTAGATAACGGATGGATGATGGGTGTCAGATCTCTAGAAGAGTTGAGTGTTTTTGCTGATCATTTCAAGCCCCTTTAAACCCTGACGTGCCCCTGCCCCCCTGACCTCTCCAACACAGACGATACCAACGGAAGTCACACATCAACCATCTCTTCACCATGGTTGACCAAGTTCCTCCCATGTTTTGGAAATTGGGGACCACAGAGGAGCTTGACGACCCCTTACCTTCCACAGAGAGTTTCTCCACGGCCCTGCGCTCCCCACGGGAGCAGTGGGGGGGCAGAGTGTACCCCTTGATGCTGCGTCCTGTGCGGACACGGCTGCTGAGCACATAGTTGGGGTCCAGATCATCTCCGCCCTGCAGACAATGTGGGTGTCAGGGCCTCCCCGGTACTCCCCTTCTCTGTCTCCCTCAGTCCACTCCCCTACCCCTTCTCTCTGGCTTTTTTCTTCTCTTGCCCCCTCTTTCCACTTGACCACACCCTCCCCACCCCCTTCATCCTGCTCTCCCATGACCCATCTCTCCTTCCTTCATCTTCATGTCTCTCCCCAGCTCACTGATCTCTGGGGGGTTTGCCCCTCTACGAAAAAACAAAAACAATTGCTGTCAAGTTGACCTAGACTGATGGTGGCCCCATGTGTGACAAAGTTTAACCGCGTGCGCTCCAGAGGTCTTTCAGTAGATGATTTTTTTAAAAACAGTTTATTTTACTTTATTTTTTTGTTTGTACCATCAAATCGGATCTGACTGGTACAGGAGGACACTGCCCCTCCTTCTCCAGCAGAGCATCTGGTGGATTCAAACCTCACACCTCTGGGATTGCAGTGCAGCTTTTTGCCACTAGGCCACCAGAGCTCCCCTATTTTTTAAAGCACCTCTAGATGGACTTGAACCTCCACCCTTTTGGTTAATAACTAAACATTGTGCCACCTTGGGAGTTCTTTCTTTCCTCACCTCTCCTGTTTCGCTCTCCCGTTGTCTCGGTCCTGTTTGGGGAGACACCCTGCTTCCTCTCTGTCTTCTCCTACCTCTCTCTCTGTCTCCCCGTGTCTTTGTGTCTCTTACTATCTCTCCTCACCCCTCTCCCCACTTTTTGTCCACTGCTGCATCTCTCTGTCTCTCTCCATGTCCATTTATCTCTGCATCTCCCCAGTCACTCTGCTGTCTCCCCCACCTCTGTTCATCTCTGCACCTCCCTAGATATCTCTCCATGTCACTGTCACACTCAGTGTCTCTCCCCCATCTCTGTCAGTATCTGAGCGTTTCTGGGCATCTCTGTCTCCATTGATTTCCATGCCTCTCTGGTGTCTCTCTGTCCATCTCTGTCTCTCCCTGGATCTCACTCCTATCTCTGTCCATCTCTGCTCTTCTCTGGCTCTCTCTCCCCATCTGTCTCTCTCTGTGTGTCTCCTCTCTTCTCTGTCCCTCCCCATCTCGGTCTTCCTCCCTCTCATCTCTCCCCACCCCTGGGCAGAGCTGACCTTGAGGTTCTCGTGGTTGAGGTCAGTCTTGTGCTTGTCGGTGGGTTTGTAGCCTCCGTGTCGGTCCTGGATGATGGGGTCGAAGAGGTCCTTGAAAACAGTGTAGGACTCCTCATCTCCGGCCACACAGCCCACAGTCATGATGAAAGGGTGACCTGGAGGGTGGGAGTGAGGTCAAAGGGACTTGTCCCCAGGAAAGAAGGCTCAGACAGCTGCCTGGAGCCCTGGCTGCCTCCAGAGTCACATATCTTTACAACAGCCCGACAATGTCCAGATGTGGAAACTGAGGCTCAAAGGAGGTAAATTACTTCCTTGGGAGATCTACATTATAACTGTGCTGAGTGTTTTAGGGGAGGCCAGCGGGGAGTCAATAAGGGGGTGTGTGTATATGTATGTGTGTTGGGGCAGGAACAGTGTTCATTCAATTTCTCTGGGTGAGGAAGGATTTGTAGGGATGGAGAGGGGGTGCTGGGAGCCATCAAGGTGACATCTGGGCTTGGAGCGGACACAGGGGGCAGGGGCAAAGGACAAAGGGGAATTTCAGGAGGCCAGTCTTATAAAAAAATAGTGGCTTTGAGGCAACTCTGACTCACAGAGACTCGGCCCCATGTGCGTCCGAGTGGCAACTGAGCTCTACAGGATTTTCAATGGCTGCTTTTTGGGAGGTAATTTGCCAGGCCTTTCTCCCAAGGCACCCCTGGGTGGACTCAAACCTCCAACCTTTCAGGTGTCAGTCAAACATTGACTGCGCCACCTAGAGGTGAACACCGGATCGGAAAGTCTTCTGCAAAAAAACTATCTGCAGACTCAGCCTGCAAGCCCCCACAAGGGTCAGGATGATGTGCTTAAAAGAAACCTCAAACCCACCGTCATCAAGTCTGACTCCTAGGGTAGAACAGGATCACCCCTCAGCATTTCCAAGGCTGTAAAGCTTCCTGGGTGCAGACTGCCTTATCTTTGAACAGCCAATCTTTCATTTAGTGGCCATTGCATACCCTGGAGCCAGAGACTTAGAAGATTCCTGTTCAGGGACCACTTCCTGTCTCTTTGTGGAAGAATCGAGAAAATATCCCACTACTGACTCGATGGCACCTAACAACAACAATAACAACTAGCATTGCATGCCATGGAGTTGACCCTGGAGGACAGAGCAGAACTGGCCCACATGGTTTCCAAGGCTGTGAATCTTTGCAAGCTGATGGCCACGTCTCTCCGCCTGTGAAGCATTGTAGGTGATGGGTGAACAGCGTAGTATGTAAGCTCTGCACACCAGAGCCCCTTTGCAGGAATCCTGACCCCTCCATCATATTTTGTGTCTCTGTTGTGTGCCACTCATCATTTGACGTCCTGAACGCACGCTGAATTGTGTTTTCCCTCCAGCCCTATATTGTGAGTTAATGCCCATTTTTCAGCTGAGAAAACAGGCTCTCAGAGAAAAAACAAAAAAATGACTCCTTCAGGGTTTTCTATTATAATTGTGTACATTTACTGACCGCTGTCCTAAGCCCTTAACTCATTGGTCTCTTAAATAGCCCTATGAGGATGGGCCCATTTTACAGATGAGAAAATAGAGGCCCAGGATGGAGGATTGGAGGATGGGTGTCTGGAACGTCAAAAGGATGCTGCAGTGAGTCTGGCCCCGCCCGGGAAGGGTACCTGGGTTGTCCACACCCGTCTGGATGACATCGTCCAGGGTGAAGCCAGATGGTGTCTCTTTGTCCCTCAGCTTTTTGTAGAGGTCAGGGGTCAGCACCTTGGCCATGTGGTTGTTGTGCTTGCTGAGGTCGGGGTACTCCTCCTCAGGCTTGTAGTTCAGCTTGAACTTGTTGTGGGTGTTGCCAAACGGCATGGTGGTGACGATCGGGGCTGGTGGGCAGAAAGGCTCGGGTTAGCGCACAATAAGCAGAGGCCAGTAAGCAGACAAAGCAGGGCTTAGGGCCAGGCAGACCCCGCAGTCAAGCCTGACTCCATGCTGTGTGGCTTGAGTAAGTGGCATGTCCTCTCTGAGCTTTGAGTTTTGGCGAGAGGCAGCAGGAAGTCGGAATCCAGTAGTGCCATAACCTTGAACTATGATGTTGCTGGAGACTTAATTCTTTCAGTTGGCAAATGGGGCTGAGTACAGACCCTGGCTTGGTGTGTGCACACAGCCCTGAGGGAGGACATTGTTATTATTGTTTTGATTACTGTTAGCCACCAATCCAGTGAGGACGAGGGTCCCTCCAGCGGCACTGACACAGATAGGACACCCACATCCAGCTCCAGGGGTGGGGAGCAAGTGGGATGCTAGGAAGGGCCCCAGGGTGGGGTGAGGGCCAGAGCAGAGATGGGGACCCACAAATATCTTTGGTGTTATTGCCCAGGGTGGGTTATTTTTAGAGTCTGGAAGGCTCCTCCCCCACCCCAGCTGCCCCTGCCCCTCACATTCTGGGGGCTCGACTTGCACCAAGTCATCAAACTGAAGACAGGTGGGCCAGGGTGGCCGGGAGGACATGTAACCAGGCACTGGGCCTCAAGGACATCCTGGGCTCCCAGCCCAGAGCCCCTCCCCTTCAGGGGGTATCCCCCACCTCATCCCGCCAGGGACACTGCAGAACGGGGCAATGCAGCCAAGTGGGTGACCCCAAGAGGCACAACAGGCAAAAACCACCTTGCGGCTACTCACACACACAACATCATAGCCAAAGGCGGTGGCTCACCACAAACACCCAAGTCACACGGCACAATCACAAGGTCACCCCTCCAGACACAGGGCACACCCCAGAGATAGGGCACCCATCAGAGCTCACAGAAAAGGCAGACACAAGGTCACAGGGATGCCACAGGCACCCCTACAGCTGCAGGCTCCCAAACGTGGCCGCACCTGCTCTTGCAGACCTCTGGCAGATGACACACAACGCACCCTGCATGGCTTGTGGCACCCAGTTTTGGTGATAAACCTTAAAGAACACAGGCCTGGCCCCACAACCCCTGCAAGGGGTGACAGCTGTCAGCTCTTAAGGCTCCTTCCTTCTCTGGGGTCCTGCCCCCCAAACCTATGCCACAGAGACACAGGACAGGAGCAAGTGGGCTCCCAGGTGGAAGGAACATCCAGACCTACAAGGTTACTCCCTGCACTCTGTCTCGTGGCAGGAGGACAAGTGGGGTGCACACCAGAGGCCTCTTTCAGACAGCCCACTCTGTTCAAGCATCCATGGACCCCCCCCACTGGACCCCACCTGACTCCCACCCCAGCTGGTACCTGGCTGTGCTGTGCTGAAAGGGGGTTTCTTTATCCTCGGCTGCGACACTGGCCCAAAGGCAGGACCTGCAGCGCCAGCCTTATATAGGGGGGGTCCGGGCTGTGCTATTGGCTGGGTGGGGCTGCCCCCAGGGAGGGGGCTGGAGGGCAGCTGAGCCTCTTAGGTCCCTGCCTGGGCACCGTGCCCACCTTGGACCCAGGCATGCCTTGCGCCCAGCCCCATGGCCTTGTATGGGCTGCCCTAAGGGCCGGCCCAGTTCCCCCCACAGCTGATCCTCCGACCAAGTGCTGAGTCGGATTGGCGGGGACAGCTGGCATCCCTCACGAGGACATGGGCACGAACAAAGCCTCCCTCCCCTGGCCCTGAACCTGCCACTTCTGAGCCTCCCTGAGCCTTGGGGCAAGGCCAGACTCCCGCCCCTCCCTCTGCCCCAGCCTCTCGCAGGGCGCAGCTCCTTGGCCGGTGGAAGCGGCAGATACGGAGCCCTGTGTCTGCTGGCGCCAGCGCGCGCACCGCGTTACAAAACCCCAGGAGCGGCGACCCCTCGGGGCCTCGGAGCGCGTCTAGCAAAGACAGGCTCCTCCGGGGCTGGCACGCCTTCTAGTGGGCGTGGGAGGGAAACTGAGGCACGACGCGTAGGAGATTCACATTGGGGCCAGGGTGAAAAGTGCGGGGGGGGGGCGTCCTCTCCTCCCCCTGGCCCCACCCTGGGAGACTCCTGGCATTAAGGCGCGGCCGAGGGGACAGGGAGGGACTCGGAGGCTGGAGCGGGAGTTATTTTTAGAGCTCGCTGCGCTGTCTCCTCCTGGAAGACCGAGCCCCCGAGGCGCTGGAATGAGGGGGGGGCGTGAGGGGCAGGTGTTGAGGGGGGTCGCCACGTGTCCGAGTTAATTATAACCGAGCGGCTCGGGTGTCCCCGCGCGTCACCTCCTTACAAGGGCAGCCACCGGCCCCAGCCGGCCGCGCCCACCGCCGGGAAGGGGGCTGGGCGGAGACGCGCTTCGGTGTCAGGGGCGCCGCCTCCACTGTGGCTCCTGAGGCGGAGCCAGCGCCAGGGGCGCCCCCGGAGAGGCTGCCCCCTCCGCCTGGGAGGCGCCGAGGGTGCAACACCCGCAGGACGCGCTCGGGGTTGCAACCGAGGCTAGCGTGGAGACCCTCCTCGGGTGGTCTCCAACCTTCTTTCCAGGTGGATAAACACTGGCTTAGGGCAAGGGGTCTCTCCCTGCTCCCGCTTTCTGCTTGGCCGTGACCTCTCCACTCACCTGTCCCTCCCCCGCAGACTGTCTTGGGTCCCAATCCCGCCTTGGGTCACATGCTTCTTCCCTGCAAGGTCAGCCAAGTGCACCGTTAGGGAAACTGAGGCTGTAACTAGTGCCTGCCGTCCAGTCAATTCCTCTTAGCGACCCTGCAGGACAGAGAACTGCCCCTTGGGGTATCCTAGGCTGTAAATCTTTATCAGCGGAGATGGTTTTGCTGTAGAGCTGTTGATAGGTTCGAACTGGCAAACTTTTGCTTAACAACCGGGTACCTTAACCACAGTACCGCCAGAGTGTAGTCACTGAGGCCCAGGGAACATAATGAAAGCAAGCTCATAATCTCTATGCATTTATAATTTCAACGATTATTTCTTGTTGTTGTGTACCATGGAGTTGGAAAGGACTCCTAGCTGTTGGAACGGGCTCCAAGCTGACCCTCCAGCGGGTTTTTCAGAGGCAGTTGATTGAAAGGGAAGTGATTTCCCATCCTTTTCCCAAAGAGCAGCTGGTGGATTTGAACCGTGAACCTTCGGGATTACAGAGCAGCTTCTTACCACTAGGCCCATCTGAGCTCCCTTCAACAGTCATGTCTCACACACTAAAGTGTTTGGTTACCAGCCAAAAGGTCAGTGATTGGAACCCACTGGCGGCTCCTCAGGCGAAAGTGAAGGTAACCCGCGCCGGTAAAAAATTACAGCGTCAGAAATCAGAATGAACTCCACAGCAGGGGCATTGAGTGCATCCAGAAGAAAGTGCACCTCAGAAGAAAGACCTGGCGATGGACTTCTGAAAAACCGGCTGTTTGTACTTCGGCACGCATGGAGGAGGCAGGGGGAAAGGAGTGGGAGACGCCTACAGCTGCAGGTGCCCCTGTGTGTACTGAGAACACAGCAGTAACGAAAGGAACTTCCAGCTCCCAAGGAGGTGATGTTCTGGTGACAGCAAGCAACTAAAGAAATACGTGCCGCACTGTCAGGAGACAAGAAGAATTTTGCAGGAAAATACTGGACACCAATAATCCAAGAGTCGATTCTGACTCAGCAGCTATCTAGAACAGAGTAAAATCTGAGGCTGCCAGTCTTCACAACAGCATCGTTCCCCCTTGGAGCGGCTGGTGGATTCAAACTACCACCTTTTCCTTTCTGAGAATTGCCCTATGTTCAATTCACTGTGCCACCAGGGCTCCTTAAGATCGAACATCTGGTAGGAACTCCCCACCTGCTTAAGCTGGGTTGTTGCTAACGCCTGCAAACTGATGCACACAGCGATTATAGTAAAACCTGCGGAAGCCAGAATAAGAGTGCTGGCGCAGCTGCAGCTATTTTAGAAAAGGAGGTCAGGGCAGGCCAGGGGCAAAACCTGAGGGAGAGGGAGAGGGAGAGGGGGGAACTGAAGAGGAGCGTCAGTGAGAGGGAACAGCAGGTGCAAAGGCCCTGCGGTGGAAGCCAGCTGGCTTGTCTGAGTGACAATGAAGAGTCCAGGTGGCTGAAGCAGATGAAAAACGAAGAGAGAGGAAGAGGAAGGAGGTGACAGTAAAGGGGATCAAAAATTCAGAGTCCACTGTGTTGCAATGTGAGCTGCTGAGGGGTGTGAGCCAGTGAGAGACCTGATCCCCTTGCACCTCTGCCTTTGGCATTCGTTTTGGTCACAGAAGCTCTTTCTACAAATTTAGTTTATTCCCGGTTCTATGACCACCTTCCCCCACCCCCCTCAATCCCAACATGCAAATTATCTTCAGAAACTCGGTTTCCCAGAATCCTTAGCGACCAGAGTCTAGTCACGTGGTACTGGCTGAACCAATCAGACGCACCAGCAGGCTCCCATGACGTCAGTGCTGCTCGCTTTGTATTCCTTGGCGTGGAGTTTTAGAGCATCGTGATGCCTTATCCAATGTCCTCTTCCCTCCCACCTGGATCTGCCCATTCTCCTCCCCACTACCCTTCCTCTTCCTCTATTTCCTAAAAATCTGTCCTCTTCCCCCCTCCCACAACCTCCTCCTCAGTCTTGCATCTTCCCACCTGAGATATCCAGCCATGGCTCCCTAGTGCCCTCAGTACAAGTGACTATTTGCTTATTTGCCAACTAAGTAAATAATATAGTGAAAACTCACGAAAGCCAAACTTCAGTGGGACTTTTTTCCTGGATTTTGCATGTTTTACTCTTTTTAAAAAAAATTTATTTTATGCTGATTTACTTACAAAGTTAATATACACTCTTTTTCACACCAGATCTTTCCCATTTCCTTTACCCACCCCTCCCTTCACCCATCAAATTGTGCGACACTATGATTACCCGCCCCACGTTTTTCTCTTGCAACAAGGGTACAGTCATACTACGTTTGTACTGCTCTCTGC